GGATGATACGCGGAGGCCTAGCTCTAATAATCAGGAGACACTGGATGAGCAAGCGGACTTCGTCTTCCCAGACGCAGAGGTTACAGCTTGGATTGCCAACGGGTTGAACTTGGAGTCTCCTTCTAAGGATAAAGATGAAGTCTACACTTATATGATGCGTAACGACGACTTTGACTCCGTCACTATCCCTCCGATTGAACCTATATTCATGGTACCCTCCAACCTCAGCACAGCTTTCGCGAAAGCATCCAAGTACCAGAGTCAGCATCTGCCATCATTTAATGTGAAGAGATTCCCCTTACATCATATGGATCCATTTATAAAGGCGCTTGAATGGGATGATAACATAAAGTTAGTCAACGACTCCCGGAACAAGATGTATAAAGTAGAAGATAAAAAGTTATCTCAACTTGATACTGCTACAAGGAGATCCTTCTTCGGGTTGGCCAGGTCCAGAGCTATCAATGAAGCATTGATCAATAAATTCCAGAACTCAAGTTCGGAAGAGGACAGAATGATATATTTGGCGCTCATAACTCAGAAGAAGGACCAATACTGTTTATCGGACCATCTGACATCTATATCTGCAGGTCTCACTTTACTACGCAGACAAGGGCTACTTGCATCCTGTTCATGGAGTGACAGATTCACCCAACCGCTACTGGGGGCTCCATGGGAGGCGCCTACTATCTTTGGAGGACAAATACACGATGCAGCTAAGGAAGCTACGCACGACTCTTGAGAAGTTATGATGATAAAATCCATAGATACTCTGGCCAATGTCATCTCTCATACTTCGCAAAAGTATAACAGCAAGTCCAAATTTCCGGCATACAGAAGGCAAAGGAGAAGAAGTACTCCAGCTTCAGAGGCGGCAAAGGACCTTTTCGTCGCCCAGCCGGAAATTACAGAGAAAACTCAGGGAGAGGCTGCACTCCAAGAGGATCCAGAGGAACTAGACGTTGATATCAGGGTTCAGAACAACTGGAGTCTTCCACCCCCAGCCGTTCCTGTCAAACCATCGACAGTGGGTGGACGTCTACAAAGGTACTGGAAAAATTGGGGAATACTAGAGGACGACTACGTCTCCCAAGTACTACGAGAAGGATACAGAGTACAACTCAAGGCCACACCTCCGCTAACCCTCAGCCCGATGGTCTTTGACTATGCAGAGGAGCAGGCAGACAAACTACAAGAAGCCATCAACGCATTACTTATGAAGGAGGCGGTAGAGATAATAGATCAGCATCATCTCACTCCAGGCTTCTACTCCCCAATTTTTCTAGTACCCAAGAAGAACTCCAAGGAGAAGTTCAGACTGATTTACAACATGCGCAAATTCAACAAAGACTATCTACTGAAACCAGACAGGTTCAGAATGATCCACCTACCTCAACTCAGACTACTCGTCCGTCCAGCAGATTACATGGCCAGCATAGACCTGCAGGATGCGTATCTACACATCCCCATACATCCGGAATCAAGAAAGTATCTACGATTCCTATTCAGAGGGCAGCACTTCCAATGGAACGTCCTACCGTTTGGAATATCTTTGGCTCCGTGGCTATTCACACGAAAGTAACCAAGCCTATAGTCACATATCTACATCATCGAGGTCTCACGCAATGCCTTCTACTTGGATGACGGAATTCAGGTTCACCAAGATGCCAGTCAACTCAGACTACAGCTGAACTTCACGCTCAAGTTGCTCACTCAACTAGGATGGCTGGTGAACCTTATGAAGTCAGAGTTGGAGCCAAAACAAGATCTGCAATTTCTGGGGATAAGGTTTATCACAACACAGAATCGTATTGTCGTCCCAGAAGATCGTTGGGTCAAGATACAAGCCATGATTCCACTAGCAGTCATCTCTCCGTTAACACTACGATCATGGCAAGTTCTACTCGGTCTACTAACCTCGGCACAGGACTTGACTCGCACAGGAAGGTTACAACTAAGACCGCTGCAACGGTTCCTGACAAACCATCTAGACAGCATCGACCCAATCTTGCTGCCAGACAACCTCAAGAGGTATCTACTGTGGTGGACACACAGGACACGTTTGCGGAGGGACCTATTTACAAGAGCCGGCCTTCGATACACATCTCTACGCAGAAGCTTCGATACAAGGCTGGGGTGCGCATCTCAACAATCAAGTTGCATCAGGAAGGTGGTCCAAAATAGAGCAGCATCTTCACATCAATCTGCTGGAGATGAAAGCCGTGATCAACGCCTTACAACTATGGTCGAGCTCGCTGAACAACAGAATGCTGATGGTCCACACGGACAACTCTACAGTGGCATTCTCCATAAATCGGCAAGGATCCACAAGGTCTCCAAGCCTGCTACAGCTCACATTCCAGTTGTTCCACATCACGGAGGAAGCAAACATCTGGATAAAGGCGTGTCACATACCCGGAGCCAAGAACGTACTTGCAGACGCTCTCTCCCGACCACTGCACCCGTCACCTATGGAATGGATGCTCCATCCAGAAGCGTTCCGGCTCATCATAAGGGAAATAGGATCCCCTTGCATAGACCTGTTTGCCACGAGGTTCAACAAACAACTACAGACGTTTGTCTCACCAGTTCCAGATCCTCAAGCCTGGGCAACAGATGCACTGAGCATATCTTGGGAAGGACTAAACGCTTACGCGTTTCCACCCCCGATATTACTACCGGAAGTACTGTTGAAGATCAAACAGACACAGGCGCTACAACTGACTTTGGTCGCGCCATACTGGCCAGCGAGAGTATGGTTCCTAGACCTAATAGAAGATCTCGGAAGTCCAGCAACAATCAAGTTACCAGATTGGCCGAACCTACTCATACATCCGCACACCAAGCAAGTCCACGGGAACCCGACACTGTTCCAGCTACACGTGTGGACTGTATCAAAACATGTTTGAAGAAAAGAGGATACTCCGCCAGGGCAGCCAAGGCAGTAATGCTAGCGTTACGCAGATCTACTCGTAACATGTATGATGACAAGTGGCTGAAGTTTGAGACTTATGCAAGGCGGAAAGGCTTCATTGCAATGAAAGCTACTCATCCTCAAGTGGCGGAATACCTGTGTCATCTGAGACAGACTAGGCATCTGAAAGGTTCAACATTATCTACATACCTCGCAGCCATCAGTACAGTCACTACCATGAAAACAGGCATCAAGTTGACGAAAGTAACAGAATTACTTGCTCTGCTGAGATCTTTTAAACTGGAGGACCAGCAAAAGAAGTTCAGAGCTCCGGCCTGGGATCTGAATGTAATTCTACGTCATCTTACCAGTGATGCCTACGAACCTCTAGACCAGACTACCCTCGAGCTGCTGACACAGAAGAGACTGTTCCTGCTTGCGCAAGCCATGGCAGCTCGAATATCAGAGATACATGCGCTGGACTTTGGTCGAACCAGATTCGACACGGGGCAACATGCTGCAGTTCATCTAGGACTTAGATGGGACTTCATTGCCAAGAACCAACTACCTGGTCAGCCAGATAGACAGTTCCATGTACCAGCGCTATCTACAATCCTCGGACCAGAGGATATAGAAGACCTATCCTTGTGTCCGGTCAGAGCCCTGAAGATATATCTTCAAAAGACTAAGACAAGGAGACGAAAATTCAAGCGCCTGTTCATCCCATTATCCACAGAGACATCAGCAGAAGTCTCAAGAACGACCATATCGTTCTGGATGAGAGCCGTCATATTGAGAGCCTATAAAGCAGCAGGACTAGAACCTCCTAGAGCTTCCAACCCACACGAAGTCAGAGCACTGGCGTCAACACTGGCTCTGCACGGAAATTGCTCTATACCAGCAATTATGGAGGGCTGCTTTTGGAAGTCGGACACGGTGTTTGCCAACCACTACCTCCGAGACATAGCCACTGAAGACGTCTCAGGCATTCACCAATTTGGGCCTCTCGTTGTAGCACAGCAACTAACGGTTCCTCAAAGGCGCTGAGTTGGAAAATCTCACCCTTTATCACGTTGACTTGTTGATAACTTTTACTAAGGAAAAGTATTAGTTTGAAAGTCCATGCGCACAGTCTAGGACAGGCTAGCATGAGTGATTAAAGATCCTGTACGGGTAAAGATCTTACCTGTACGTGAAGGGGTCGCAACTCATTTATGATAAAGATCTTATCATAATCTATGGGTTGTTATAAGATATCTAGTAATAAGAAGATACTAGTTTATCTGAAGCCACATGAATCAACATGATTCAACTTGTCTGAGACTGAAGTAAGACAAGAAAGTGGTCCCCCCGAGTTATAACGGAAGTTGGAAGAATAGGATCAAGGAAATGCCGTTTCAGCAGTTCCCATGGGGGGGATACAGGACGTATCTAAGGACAGCTGATGAATCCAGGAAGTGGCCTGACCCACCACCAATCCGCAGGATTCTATAAGCAAAAGATCATGAGTCAGGATAAGAAAAAAAATATGTAATATTTCAAGTAAAATTGATATTTTTATACTTATCCTGACTCATGAGGTCAAGCCCTCCCAACCTCCCCGCTGGAAACACTTCGGATTTCACGGTGGATCCAAGTGCATGGGCAGAAAAATCAGGAGAGAGTGACAAGTAAGGCTGGTCACATGACTGTTTGCACGGGAAAGGGCAAAAGGGAGGTAACTCGTGGGTGAGTGTATTTTTACGTCCGCTTCGGGAACTTCAAGGGATTCAAGTGTTCCACTACCATTCGAAAAGGAAAGGGAGATAAGCAAAAGATCATGAGTCAGGATAAGTATAAAAATATCAATTTTACTTGAAAAATTACATAATTGATTGTACATCTCTTGCCTCAGAAATCCCCCATGAACTACTCATTTCTGATGGATGTAAATTCGTTTGTATTTCAACCTGTTTCATTTACATGACCATATAGACTGTAGTACCTGTCTGGAGAGTTGGTCAACTCACATTAAGCCATAACACATACATCCTGAGATTCTGACCCTGCTAGCTGTCGCTATCCTATTTCTAAAACTATTTCCCAGTACGCCATCCACACCTACGACACACTGATGCAGTCTGGGATTGATTACGGAGTGAGGAATGCTGGGTACTACGCCATGCGACACCTACGCATGGAGAAGTTCTTCGCGTACTGGGGCCTGGACCTGAATGCCCAGACAACCCCCATGGAGTGTGGCCGGGAGTTCCGTGTAAACCTGGAGGTGAGCTACACTTACACTCAAGACACTGGGTCCTGTTTCACAAAGCTGTGACTGTCGTAGCGCTATGAAAGCTTTGTGAAACGGGACACTGGTTATTACTGATTACAAGCTAGTATTGGGAAGAATGAAATTGGGAGTATATCAGTTATATCAACACTTGTACAGCTTCTGAGTTTTAAACTTATTGACTTAAGGGGATGTGTGTTATGTCAAAAGATACTCAGATGACATTCTTTGTATGAACCATTTTTACAAACCTGCAGTTTAACATTAGTGAGTCCATATTTTACCAACATTTCTCAAGGAAGACATTTTCACGGACTTGACATCTTGTTCAATAGCTCCTATCAAAATAACTGAAAGATTAGCAGGGTGTGACCTTGACCTACAGAACTAGAGATTCAGGGAAGCGTTATAACTAATGTGAAGGGACCTTACTGGAAATATGAGTCCTGGAGACAAGGGAATCGTGCAGTGTACTGATAATTACCTGAATTACAGAATGTATATTTTGTTATATTTATTGCCATGTTTAACCCTGGGTACTTAAATAATGGCTATTTCTGTCAACAGAAAGGTGATTTCATTGGCCGAGAAGCCCTCAAGGAACAGAAGGAGAACGGCATCAAGAAGAAGTTTGTACAGTTTCTGCTGGAAGACTTTGACGTGAACCGTGACCTGTGGCCATGGGGTGGTGAGCCCGTGTACCGCAATGGGGTGTTCGCGGGGGTCACCACCACCTGCGGATACGGCTTCACCCTGGACCGGATGGTGTGTCTCGGATATGTCAGCGAGTATGATGAGGACGGCAATCCCAAACTGAAGAAAAACATGAACAAATTTGTGATGGAGAAAGACGCACACTATCAGATTGACATTGGTGGGAAGCGGTACTCTGCTAAGGCTGGTATCTACACCCCCAAGTTAGCCATGTCCACGGTAGAACCTTCCTTTATTCCAGTGCCAGTGTGATGTGATCTACCTCAGAGTCAACTCTCGTCACCAGAAGCTCCAAACAATGGTGACCTTGTACAAGGTCAAGACAGCCATTGACAGACTGCCATGTACCAGATAGCCAGAAACATGATCTCATTACTTCAGGCGTCCCAAGGGTTGAATATACACTGTATTTCTTTCGTTACTCCTCCATGTGAATCCTTACATGAACATATCGTACGTGTGGCAGGATAGGTTGTGCACATGTAAGTGTTGGGAATCGTGTCACTCTGCTCAAGACTTCTACAAATCATCATATACATCGTAGGATCATTATATACACACCATGTTTCTGTCCTTTAAGCAACAACACAACTTCACTAATGCATAACTTTATGATCACAGGTTTTCTTAATGCGCAAAGTGTCTCAGAACTCTGACATGTGTCATTGGTACAATGCGCTGCTGCTGGTAACCATGGTAACCCGGAACAGCATAATACAGAGAGATTGATTACATTATTTACCAATCAAAACTAGTTTAAGGCCACTCGATATTTCCTGTGACCATAATAACAGTTGTGTTATTACAGATGAACTACAGTCATGTGGAATATAGGGTGGTTTTACTCCTCTTGAATACCTCTGTTCAGTGAGTTGGTTTATGGTGAAACTTTATCTTCAGTATTCCTTTTACATTTACAAGTCAGTTAGCCAGAAGCTTGTCTGTTGGAGACTTTCGTTTAATGTCAGTTGCGATTACTTTAGGTGATATTGCCTAACTAGAAGTTGTATCAGGTGATATTGCCTAACTAGAAGTTGTATTAGGTGATATTGCCTAACTAGAAGTTGTATTAGGTGATATTGCCTAACTAGAAGTTGTATTAGGTGATATTGCCTAACTAGAAGTTGTGTTAGGTGATATTGCCTAACTAGAAGTTGTATTAGGTGATATTGCCTAACTAGAAGTTGTATTTTGGTGATATTTCCTAACAAGAAGTTGTATTTGGTGATATTTCCTAACAAGAAGTTGTATTAGGTCTGGGCCTAGTGATAGTTGCAGAGTATTTCAGGGACGTTAACAAGTCAGCTCTCAGTCGATGGTGTGTGTGATTAATGTGTTTTCCTGTATCTAGTGGATGATCTCACACTGACTGACTAATGGATTAATATATATACTGTAGTTGTGTCCTTAACATCTAATGTTTCTGTTCTGAAGAATAAGCTTTATGTGTCTAACACTCAAGTTATGTATATCATTTCAGAGTTTTGCATGTGGTAGTTTTGTGGTAGCTTAGTGGTAGCTTAGTGGTAGCTATGTGGTAGCTATGTGGTCAGTGCTTGCTAGCAATGCCTAAAGCCTGAGTTGGATTAACCATGAGTACAGTAAGATGATTCTGGGTGTCTCCTGCTGTGATATTGCTGGACATATTGCTTTGTATTATCTTAGTATAGCGCTGGAGTACCATACTGACTCACTCATTCTACTGTTGTCTATTGTCTGTCTGTCTCTCTGTCTGTCTCAATATCTGTCTGTCTGTGCAAGGATCCACTAGACATTATAGTTTCGCGTTTCAGTACTTGACCAAAGTGGTCATGGGGTGATGGTCTGTTTCACGTTTCTCTGACTCATCCACCAACAGACAGAACTCAGTGCATCCTACATAAACATGAAGATGGTACTAGAGGGACCGATTGGCTCTAAGTCAGTAGATTTCACTGGCTATATTAGTGGGCTGTATGTATTATGACAACTTTGAAATCCAGCTTATTTGCATGACAGGGCCCCATTTCACACAGCTATCATAGTGCTGTGACTGTCGTAAGTCTATGTTACAGTATAGGAGGTACGACAGTTGTAGCGCTACGATAGCTTTGTGAAACGGGGCCCTGACCGTTGGGTATTCTGAGCACCTGGGATTTTCTGTGGAGAGATTTTTTTCATCTACAGCGGCAACACCAGTTGTTTTATGATTAAAATTGAGTCTAAATCTATATAAAAATGCCTGAGTTATATCGTACTGCAGGTGAGTTGTATACTGGGAAATACTCAGAGGTTGCTGGTGTGTGGAGCTGTGTGTTGATGTCGAAACTGCCAACATCTTCCTAACTGATACAGGTTCTGAAATCTGTATGTAATATATATACTTCAGAGGAATACAGATTAAATCTATGGATTGTCAGTTTATGTTACCTCAAGGGATATTATCTTTCATTCTGCGACGCCATGCTTTTGTCTGTTGATGGCTGTACAGAGACAGTTGTCAGGTAATACTGATATAGAATATGCGGAGATCAAATATGACATCTTAATCAAATGTATGGGAAATTTATAAGTATAACTGTATTTATCACTACTGTTGAAGATTATGCATCCCTGATCTGTTTATAATGGGACAACCTACACAGGTACATACACCAGCTGGAGACTAGCACATTTGTTTCTGGGAAAGGGAAATGGTGGACATGCATGAACAAAATATGGCTATGTTGTCACTGATGTGTGGCTTGGTGCTGTTGTTGTCACAGGCTACGTCAATACCAGATTGTTTTAGTTGTGTGTTGTGGCATATATTTGATTGTCTCGGTGAGTTGGAGGTATACATGCATCTCCTTGTCCATGTGTGATACAGACCCGCCATATTAGCTCGTTGGGAAACTGTTACAGCTGGAACAATATAAGTATTTGTTCATCACTTTGTTGACTTCTATTTTGTTTGTTATTATGTTTGTTTTCAGAACTATTTGCAGTTAACTTTTTAATTAATAATTTAAGATTATTTTATTATTTAATACTGAATTTTCAGTGTACAGACTGGTGTTAGAGATAGAGCTGTTTTATGTGTACAGACTGGTGTTAGAGATAGAGCTGTTTTATGTGTACAGACTGGTGTTAGAGATAGAGCTGTTTTATGTGTTAGGAAGGCACAGTAATCACAGGCCATGCAGGAATTGTTTCCACTACAACTGTACAAGACGACTCTTGATACGGTGGAGCCAAACATTGCTGGGCTGGGGTCTGTGATCACCATGTTTATTGCAGGTGAAACTTTTAATGCATGTTTGTTCAGTTTTTAAATATATTATGGCATTGTTTCAATTTGTGTTAATATTTTGTTGAAGTGGTGTCCACAAACATTTATATATGGGTTAAATTTTATTGCATCTATTATTGTTTTAAAGTGTGTCAAGTTGCTGTTATAAACCCCAGGAATACAAATATTTCCCTCACAACTACTCCTACTAGACAGATGTGTGGAAGATGCTCACAGATATATATGTGACATGTTACCAGGGGTAACATATTTACCTGTACCGGTACTACCTGCATGTCATCTGATTGGTGCAAGAATTTTGAAGTGTTGAGTGTATATATTGTCAATGCATATATGTACTTAGGATTGTGTAGGTAAACATAGTCGCATGCAGATCCATACTTGCAAGTAGTTCTTTGAATATCGCTGCTGATGGTGCAAATCTTGCATGTGTGGACAATATCTGAGTTTGTATTTAAGATGTCTGTTATGTGTGCAACATGATGAACATTACCTAGATTACTTCCCTGTTTGATCGGCCAGTTTCAGGTGTTCTAACAGTGTTCTATGTGTGGCACCACTGGCCTTGTCATCTGGATGTTTGACCTTTACATTGGTGCAAACAAACCATCACTGAGATTACACTACTGTATGTTGTCACATTGATATCACAGACAACAGTTGGGATATGTTCTTGTTCATGAACCTGTCAAAGTCAAATAAAACAATTTTTAGAAAATTGAGCATCCTTTTTTTTTACCCTGAACTGTTCAGGCCGACATGTTAATCTTTACTCTGATTAGCACTGTGCGTGGCCTGGAGTGTAGTCCCTCATCTTTTACATTTACCTTGACTTTGTAATCAGTGTGAACTCATCCAAGGAAGAGAAGCAGATGGGTCTATTTGGGCCCTGTTTCACAAAGTGATCTCTACATTGAAAGTTTTGGGATTTACGATCACCATATTGCCTTGTGTATTGGGGCTCTGGGTTCCTCTAAGCATTTCCTGGCTCCCAGGGCGGTGGGGTAGCCTAGTGGTTAAAGCGTTGGCTCATCAAGCCGAAGACCCGGGTTCGAATACCCACATGGGTACAATGTGTGAAGCCCATTTCTGGTGTCTCCCACCGTGATGTTGCTGGAATATTGCTAAAAGCGGCGTAAAACCAAACTCAGTCAGTCCTGGATCCCATATCATGTTCACCTAGAAACTGATGTGGTCAGGATCGAACCACCAGCCATCTGTTCTCCGGGCACATGTTCATCCACTAGACCAGAGTGTGTTGGTTTGTTGTTTAACACTGCACTCAGCAATATTCTGGCTATATGGCAGCGGTCTGTAAATAATCGTATCTGGACCAGACAATCCAGTGATCAACAGCATGAGCATTGACACTAACATGGGCTTCATGTGTCAACCAAGTCTGTGAGCCTGACCACCCAATCCCGTTAGTCACTTCTTACGACAAGCATGGGATGCTGAAGATCAATTCTAACCTTGGCAGGTTCACTAGACCAGAGATGGTAGGATAGTGAAGAGGACATACTGAAGGCTAAGCTGATGTGGAGGTCATTTTGGATGTGTAGAAATGAAGAGGCCAGGATATGCTTAGAAATACTGATGTATGTTCGGTATTGTGAAGAGAGTTGACAGGCGAAAGAGATGAGCAAAGGATGGATGGGAGATGGACAATAGTCTTGCATTGTGAATGATAGCAGTAGTGGGAGGTCAGAGTCATGCACACTGAAGCCTTGTGGTGCCAATACAGAACTTACAAAATGAAAACAAAACTAAATTGGCATTCAAAATAAAATCTTTAATAAATCATGATCATGTTGACAATTCTTCTGTTCTCCTTTCAAATCTTACAGGTCATATTATTATTATATATCACATTCCTCTGATGCACAATGTTCATCTAGCACTTGTATACAACCTGACCAGCAATATGTTGATGGTGTTAGGTCAGGCTTATAGCGAACATCATCAACAATAACATGCTCCTCCAAAAGTTGAAGTGACAATAGCGGTATAAAGTACAAGACAACACAGGCATGAACTCCTTCATCCGAGACATGAAACTCAACAGTATGATAAATGGTATTTGTACATCAGTGGTGTATATAGGTAAAATGTGCATTCAGTATCTAACCCCAGACATCATTGTATCATCTCGCTGGAGGAAATATTCAAATTCTCGCCCTGAAAAGGGTCTGAAGCTCCTTTCCCCTGCACACCATTGTCTCCCTCCCAGTTTCATCACGACCACCACAATGCAAGAAGTCATCTTGAACTATTTAGTGGGACACTAGTGACATTTATGTGTTTGTTTATGAATTTGGAATCGTCGTCATTGTGAATTAAGAAAATGTTTCCCAATGACTTCATCCAAATTGAACTTTGCTTGTTTAATCATATTTGGTTTGAGATTGCTGATTTGTGGTAAAGCTCCCAACTTCCCTTCATATTTTCACTACACTATTTACATCACAGTTGAAAACAAACAGGAAATCAATTTGCCTTAGTTAGAGTGTTCAGTGTGATGACAGTGTTCATGTGTTGGTATCTAGGACTGTCAGTTGGATGCAAGATAAACCCAACACAGGGTTGTGGCTGTCTGTCACAGTGACCTCTCAGGTGGACTATTGCTGTTTGATGTTTGGGTCATTTCCCCCATCTGTGGACATGGCTGATAAGATATGTCTGTTACAAGACTTCGCTTTGTATAGGACCCCCCACCAGTATGATCAGTCAAGGAGCAACACAGGCGTCCGTCCAACACGTCTTTGTGCATGTGAACCTGAGGTATGGACTGCAGATGTTAGGATGCTACACACACATCACATCATACAAGAGGCACTATTTAACTCAGGTCAAACTGAAATGTTTCTGGAAATCATCCTCAATATCGTGGTATGAATGTGGTTATCAACCTTCCCCCAGCGACACAGTCAACGAAGACAGAGATCCTAATCCCCCAGTGTTTAGTTGTTAGTCTTTTTACAAAAACATGAGGAGCTGGGATCCAAACATACTGCATCCCATCCATGGGGACTCACACTGCATCCCATCCATGGGGACTCACACTGCATCCCATCCATGGGGACTCACACTGCATCCCATCCATGGGGACTCATACTGCATCCCATCCATGGGGACTCACACTGAATCCCATCCATGGGGACTCACACTGCATCCCCTACTGTCACAGAGTTAGTTTAACATTAGTTGCTAAACCCTTAGGCTGAACAAATCAACAGATATTCAACCGTGTAGTATTGCACGTGATGTAGGTAAAGTCTAGAACATATTGAAATCAACACCAGGAGTTACATGCCACATTCCACTAATCTTAAATCATATTTTGGTTGACATGTGGCAAGTAAAACCATGTCTGGATAATTCATGAAAAATAAAAATGTAATAATTATTGTAAACATTATCAAAACTGTATGCATTTCTATTTTAAAAGAAACTTGCCCATTCAGCATTTTATCAGCCACTAAACGAGGAACATGCCACGGAACTTAAAACAGTCCCCAATACCTAACATCTGCATGTACCATATTTAGAGGATGTGCTTCATGGCCGTTAACATATTAACATCAAGCAACTTATGTTAGTCTTATGTCTTAGACATCAAGTAACTTTTATTCTGGTGTCACTGAGTAAGCTAAGACTATGTTCAAATATGATCTGAGAAAGCCGAGCACCCAAACTAGGAGCAAGACCTCCTCTGTTGTAAACTCTATTGTGTGTGACCGATACTTGACATTGATGTGGGGAGTGGACAGTTTGCATCGTGTCAGCATATTGCAGCCAATCAAAGACTAACTTCTCTTTCATTAGTACACTAACGGTTTTCATGTGTGACAGTGTGATCAGGAAAGGTCAATATAGGGTCTGGAATAAATACTCATCTTGTCGACTGACTTACTGCAGAACGTAAAACAACTGATTGAAACAGCATTTTTTCAACATTTTTCTTTTTCGTGTTAAAATGTCTGTTTCCAGACATGCTTCAGGGGCACGCCAATGACCCTGCCGATATCATCACGTCCCCCAATCCCTCCCATGATAGCCTCAGTACTCCACACAACAACACAGTAACTACTTGTATGTACAACAGAAGGAAACATTGTAGCAAAAGATGCATACACAAATATAAAAACAAATCTTGTATTTTGCCCTGTGAGGCAAGTGACGAACCGGAGCATGTTGAGGTGTGTGAAGTCCGGGCAGAATACACCTCGACATAAATAAGTGGGATCACTGGGTATAGCAGACACTATTTACACAACATTTACAAAAACTCTTACATGAGGCCCAAACGGGTGTGCTTTCCATTTCATAACTTTCAAAATAGGGTTTGTATTTAAGCAGTGTGTTTTTATAAATGGTGATATTTTCCTAACATTCCGTTGGAAAAAGTTAGAGACAGGTAACCTTTACATACCCTCGAAAACAAACAAGAAAAAAGGCAGGTTTGGAAATTGAAATCACATCAGTTTAGGCCCGATTTGCTGTGACAGATCATCGTCTGAGCTCTCATGTACATTTTGGCACAATGTTTAGTTAAATCTGTTAAGTGTATGTGGATCAACAGATATTTATCACTATTTTACACAACAGACCAACCAGTAGAAATCTGTCATTATTTCCAACAAATAAGTATCATAACCAGAGCAGATTGAGCTCATTTAACCAAATAATCAATTAAATGAAATGAATAATTTCAGATCACACAATGTTCTATTGCAGAGACTCATCCATTTTCAACAGCAGTAGTCGGCAATTGATCTACTTTTAATAAATTTCTTATTTTTAAAGGTTTTTTTATATTTGTTTTATAGATAAACCTTGTTTTTACATTAAAATCATTGCATCTATTTTTTTTTCAATCTGCAACCTCAGGTTTGGTTGTAATGATGATTGATCAAAGACTTCACAATTGTTTACAATAAAAATGAATCACACATGACAAAATCTAAAAATGACTCATCGCCACAAAAATATATATAAGGTGTTTGCGCTGACAGCATTGTTAGCCTCTCTCAGTTATCCCCTGCCTCATGTCTTCTCATGAAGACACCATGTCTCAGATGGAGACACATCTCTTGTCTCATGAAGACAGCAAGTTTCAGATGGAGACAGATCTCATATCTCATGCCGACACCATGTCTCAGATGGAGACACATCTCATGCAGACAGCAAGTTTCAGATGGAGACAGATCTCATATCTCATGCAGACACCATGTCTCAGATGGAGACACATCTCATGCAGACAGCAAGTTTCAGATGGAGACAGATCTCATGTCTCATGCAGACACCATGTCTCAGATGGAGACACATCTCATGTCTCACACACATCAGGTTTCAAATGGAAACATCTCGTGTCTCATGCAGACACCATGTCTCAAATGGAAACATCTCGTGTCTCATGCAGACACCATGTCTCAGATGGAAACACATCTCATGTCTCATGCAGACACCATGTCTCAGATGGAGACACATCTCATGTCTCATGCAGACACCATGTCTCAGATGGAGACACATCTCATGTCACATGCAGACACCATGTCTCAGATGGAAACACATCTCATGTCACATGCAGACACCATGTCTCAGATGGAGACACATCTCGTGTCTCATGCAGACACCATGTCTCAGATGGAGACACATCTCATGTCACATGCAGACACCAGGTTTCAGATGGAAACACATCTCATGTCACCTGCAGACACCATGTCTCAGCTGGAAACACATCTCATGTCACATGCAGACACCATGTCTCAGATGGAAACACATCTCATGTCTCATGCAGACACCATGTCTCAAATGGAAACATCTCGTGTCTCATGCAGACACCATGTCTCAGATGGAGACACATCTCATGTCTCATGCAGACACCAGGTTTCAGATGGAGACACATCTCATGTCTCATGCAGTCACCATGTCTCAGATGGAGACACATCTCATGTCACATGCAGACACCATGTCTCTGTCGGTGACACATCTCGTGTCTCATGCAGACACAAGGTTTCAGATGGAGACACATCTCATGTCACCTATCTCATGACACAACGTTTTTATGTGGTGATATTTTGAGATTGAAGGCTTACATGTTGTGTGTCTATTTATTGCCTCTATAATTAGCATGAAATAACATAACAGAAGGAACATGAAATACGAAATAAGTTATGCTAGAGATTCCTGTCCATATAATCACATACAGCAACCAACACTGTGAAATCTTCACCCCCGTTGTCCATCACAGCAGTAGGCCCTACCTTGGGATGCTACGGAATTATCCTGTTAATACTAAATACTAATTCTGTTAATGAGCATATAACGAGAAAAACAAACACATTTCGTCCATATAAAAGTGGCTAAAGTATAGAAACATGCATCAATGAAGCAGATGAAGCTGCTACACTGGCTGGAGAAAAGTTTCCATCCCAGGAATAATCCATGCAAATCTTATAATAACACTCGGAGTTGATAGCGTTGAGAGGAACAAAATATTCAGAATGTAAAGCACAGAATGTTTGTATAATCAGTATAATGATACACACAGCACTAACCAAACTTCTGGCAGACAGACTGGCACGACACAGCTGTGCTCCAGCAGAACTGCAACATTTCAGTTACTGCCAATGAATGAAATATATTTACTTAGGTGAGTGAGTTATTCTGTCATTAACATCAGTGGGCAACATGCTGACTGCATCCCACCACCCCCTAAATAGACACCCGGACACGATGGATGACGGCATCACACCACCCCCTAAATAGACACCCAGACACAATGGCTGACCGCATCAGACCACCCCCTAAATAGACACCCAGACACAATGGCTGACGGCATGAGCAATAATGGATGCTGTCTGGGTATGACAACACAGTCAGAGCCCGACTGTCCCACCGATTCAACACCAATCTCAGATCAGATCTTAGTTCTCACTACCACTACACAGAGACTGGAGCACATATCATTACATCAGAACAACCTTTCATCTGACCAATCAGAACATCACTTACAGGATTGTGAAAGTCGGAATATTTTGCTGATATGTTGCTGGACCCGACTACAATGTCACGGAATGCATAGGTCATGACAGGAAGGCACATGAACGACAGTGTCGACCACAACTCAACATGGATGATCCAGGAAGCACATGAACGACAGTGTCGACCACATCTCAACATGGCTGCTCCAGGAAGCACATGTACGACAGTGTCGACCACAACTCAACATGGCTGCTCCAGGAAGCACATGTATGACAGTGTTGACCACAACTCAACATGGATGATCCAGGAAGCACATGAACGACAGTGTCGACCACATCTCAACATGGCTGCTCCAGGAAGCACATGTATGACAGTGTCGACCACAACTCAACATGGCTGATCCAGGAAGCACATGAACGACAGTGTCGACCACATCTCAACATGGCTGCTCCAGGAAGCACATGTATGACAGTGTCGACCACATCTCAATATGGCTGCTCCAGGAAGCACATGTATGACAGTGTCGACCACAACTCAACATGGCTGCTCCAGGAAGCACATGTATGACAGTGTCGACCACAACCCAACATGGCTGGTGCAGGAAGGACATGAATGACAGTGTCAACTACAACTCAACATGACTGGTCACAGAAGCAACTGAAACAGATGTAACACAACAATGGCATAAGCAAATAGCTGATGACATACTTGATACAGAAATCTGATTAAATGATCAGGACAAACTGGTCATCCCAGTCCCCGGGGTACAAAAGGATGTTATACTCTCAGGATTTCGTAATGTATGCGAGACGTTCATATCCAAACAGTCAGCATAATCATGAAGGAAATATATTAAGTAATCTGTGATCTGTGACTATCAGTCTACCGTCAGACTTCACTGGTGTTTGATAAGTGTTGGTTCGGGGCCAGTGTTCTGATCATGAGGCACGGGCGTGGAGACGGAGTTGTGGACTTCCTCTACTGATGGCCGCCGTGCTGGGTGTTGGTCACCTGTTTCCTTATCAGTGATATCCTTCAACACAGGGTCCGACTCGCTCACCTCCACACCATTCTCCTTGTCAAGAGACTCGTGTAGAGTTAGTGTCATGTTATCCACTGATAGGCTTGCACTAGCCGAGTCAGCACTATCACAACCAGGATCAGAGGGGACGTGTTCTGGCGACTGTTCCTCATCACTGCTCCGTTGAGACAGTGACCGCCAGGATGCTGTTAAGCCAACTCCGTCCGTGAGATCCAGCAGAACGGAGTCGTTGTCATCGTCATCAGCGACGTTCCCATTGTTGTACGTCCCAGCCTGACTGTCTTCGGAATCACTTTCTGTAGATGGAGGAATGAGTTCCACAGTGGAAGATGTATCCATATTGGCAGTCTGTAAATGTGTGGAGTTTAGAGATATCAGCTGAACGTCATTACCTCCTGCTAGCTGATGATCATCTGCATTCTCATTCACTATCTGATGTGATGATGGTTCTTCAGGGGTTGGCGGCAATTGCTGATTTCTCCGCCGGTCTCTGGATCTTCGTCTATGCTGATCACGTGACTGATTTAAATATTCCTGACGGGCTTCTTCATATGGTCTCGATGTCAACATGGCCTCGTGGTAAGGAGGAGGTGGGGCACGCCGACGTAGAAACTCGGCTTGTAGACGGCTGAGAGGACTCTCGTGTCGCGGGCCGTACTGTTCGTTCATCCGTAGCGCATACACCTTACATATACAGCCGAGGGCGATGACCAGCAGCAGAGAACAGATGAGGGAGCCGGTGACCGCAGCGACGATCACACGCCGGGTGAAGACTGCAAACAAACAACATGCCATTAAGTATCACGTCAACGTTGTTTATTGGTAAACACAACAATATTTTGGCTTATTGATGGCTTGTTGATAATCAAGTTTGGAACAGACAATGATCAATAATGTTTGCAGCTATCCACACAGTATGTCAAGAAAGACAATCAACCAAGTCTGATCCCCAGGTTGATGGGGATCTATTCTAACTGGGGGTCCACACACTGGAAAATAGTATCTATCTGTCACAATCTTTATCCAAAACATCTTAAAAATAGTGGAATCATAAAAAATTCAGATAGATCTGGCATAAACACATTCATAACTCTGCTGACATCAGGCGTTGGTGATTATCAATTCCTAGGATCTATATCATGTGAGAGGTTAAAATAATCAGTAAAATATGTATAAGAAACTAATGTAAATATAAAGTTTCAGACAGTTATGCATTGGTTGGAATACTTAACAGTGAAGATTAGGAAACTCACAAGGTGAAGGACATCCATCTTCATCAGAGTGATCATCACAGTCATCAGTGCGGTCGCACTCCCATGTCTCATAGATGCAACGTTTATTCTTGCACAGGAACAGACCCTTGTGAGAGCTGCATTGCTGGGCAGCTGAAACAAAGGGAAGCAATTCTAGATGTTGGCGATTCTGATGTGTTAACATCATCCCTGAAAAACGCTGTTTGTCTTGTTGATTGGGTCTGTTGTTTCAAGTTATATACAGCAACATTCCAGCCAGTCACACTTTGCTGAGGACCAATTCATCCCTTTTTGTCCTGCACTGATGGAGTGATTGACAATGTTGAGTTAGTTAGTGAGTTTAGTTTTACGCCGCACTCAGCAATATTCCAGCTATATGGCGGTGGTCTGTAAATAATTGTGTCTGGACCAGACAATCCAGTTATCAACAGCATGAGCATCGATCTGCGCAATTGGGAACCGATGACATGTGTCAACCAATTCAGCGAGCCTGACCACCTGATCCCATCAGTTGCTTCTTACGACAAGCATGGGTTACTGAAGGTTCATTCTAACCCGGACCTTCACGGGTCGACAATGTTGAGGCAAACAACAGCCTTGAACAGTATTCAGTTTTACTATGGTGTTTAAGGAAGCATTAAGATCCTTGGAGCATAAAGATCCTTATCTGAATTCCCACTTAATAATAGGCTACAGGATGAATGCCATGTTGCTTTCAGCACAAATGTCTTCAAGAAGGGACTAAGGGGAGGAATGTACAATGATGTATAGACTGCATATCTAGTTTCTCTGGCTACAACCCTAGATACTATTTCCCTGTCTACCTACTACAATGTTTTCATCAGCATGATTGTGACATTGATTGACTGCTCTAGATACAATTTCCCTGTCTACTTACTACAGTTTTCTCATCAGCGTGATTGTGACATTGATTGACTGCTCTAGATACTATTTCCCTGTCTACTTACTACAGTTTTTCTCATCAGCGTGATTGTGACATTGACTTCACTGGATACTACTTCCCTGCCTACTTACTACAGTTTTTCTCATCAGCGTGATTGTGACATTGACTTCACTTGATACTACTTCCCTGTCTACTTACTACAGTTTTTTTCATCAGCATGATTGTGACATTGACTGCTCTAGATACTATTTTCCTGTCAACTTACTACAATTTCTCTCATCAGAGTGATTGTGACATTGACTGCTCTAGATACTATTTTCCTGTCAACTTACTACAATTTCTCTCATCAGAGTGATTGTGACATTGACTTCACTGGATACTATTTTCCTGTCTACTTACTACAGTTTTTCTCATCAGCGTGATTGTGACATTGACTACTCTAGATACTATTTTCCTGTCTACTTACTACAGTTTTTCTCATCAGAGTGTTTGTGACATTGACTTCACTAGATACTATTTCCCTGTCTACTTACTACAGTTTTTCTCATCAGCGTGATTGTGACATTGACTTCACTGGATACTATTTCCCTGTCTACTTACTACAGTTTTTCTCATCAGCATGATTGTGACATTGACTGCTCTAGATACTATTTTCCTGTCTACTTACTACAGTTTTTCTCATCAGCATGATTGTGACATTGACTGCTCTAGATACTATTTCCCTGTCTACTTACTACAGTTTTTCTCATCAGCGTGATTGTGACATTGACTTCACTGGATACTATTTCCATGTCTACTTACTACAGTTTTATTCATCAGCATGATTGTGACATTGACTGCTCTAGATACTATTTTCCTGTCTACTTACTACAGTTTTTCTCATCATCATGATTGTGACATAGACTGCTCTAGAAACTATTTCCCTGTCTACTTACTACAGTTTTTCTCATCAGCGTGATTGTGACATTGACTGCTCTAGATACTATTTTCCTGTCTACTTACTACAGTTTTTCTCATCAGCATGATTGTGACATTGACTGCTCTAGATACTATTTCCCTGTCTACTTACTACAGTTTTTCTCATCAGCGTGATTGTGACATTGACTGCTCTAGATACTATTTTCCTGTCTACTTACTACAGTTTTTCTCATCAGCATGATTGTGACATTGACTGCTCTAGATACTATTTCCCTGTCTACTTACTACAGTTTTTCTCATCAGCATGATTGTGACATAGACTGCTCTAGAAACTATTTCCCTGTCTACTTACTACAGTTTTTCTCATCAGCGTGATTGTGACATTGACTGCTCTAGATACTATTTCCCTGTCTACTTACTACAGTTTTTCTCATCAGCGTGATTGTGACATTGACTGCCGCCATTGCACCGGTCCTGTCTGGAGTAGCATGTGCTGCCAGACCCACAGCTGAACTGGAGTGTCCCACACCGATCTGGAAAATACCATGTGACTCTCATATCCAAAACAAAGTACAATGAAACCTGTCTAAACCGGCACCCAACAGGACCGAAATAAAATGCCGGTTTAGACAGGGTGCCGGATTAGACAGTGATGATAATTTTCCAACATGGCTGCCATTTCTTGTCAAACTTTTAATCTAGCGTCCCGAGAGGAGTGTATTGGATTAAGGGACCCTGATTGGACTGCTCATACCCATGCCGGCTTCGAGCGTTTGATTCATCGCGCAATCACTACTTCCTGATTTTCTTGCGCGCCAAGAGGATTAATTAGTGTATTGGATTATGGGTCCTTGATTGGACTGCTCATACCCGTGCCGGTTTAGACAGTGTTAATCACAGTTAAAATCACTTGCTGGGACTGGAAAGTCGTGCTGGGACCGGAAAGTCGTTCCGAAATACGGAGGGACCAAAATTTTATGCCGGTTTGGACAGTGTGCCGGATTAGACATGTGCCGTTGTTGGCAGGTTTCACTGTACATCAACAAATACAGTCAGTCTTATCCCTGCCACCAGCTTATATTACAATCGTAAACAAACGGTGTTTGGTTTCCGTGGGAACAACAGGATCCAGTCATAGCTAGACTCAAAGATTTGCATAGTTTCATATTGATACAATGAAAGGTCTTGTGCAGGAAACAAACATAATTACAAACATAAAACAGAGTACTGACACATTCCCAGCTATATTGGACTTACCACATCCAAGTTCATCGGATCCATGTTCAGGGCAGTTCCACACTCCGTCACACTTCTCGCTGACGTGGTAGCACTCGCTCTCCATCCTGCAGGCCTCCTGGAGCCCTGGGATACACTGACCTGTGCACAGAAATATTCCTGGATGTGAAAATTAACCCCAATTGTCGCAACCTTAAAAAAAATCTGTGGCAATCCTGCAGACTGGCTGACGGTCTTTAAACAATCAAGTCTGGACTAGACGATCCAGGGATCAACAGCATCAGCATCGATCTACGCAACTGGGATACGATGACATGTGTCAACCAAGTCAGCGAGCCTGACCACCCGATCCCCATAGTGGCCTCTTACGACAAGCATGGGTTACTGAAGATCAATTCTAACCCAGTTCTTCACGCCTATCAGGCTCAGGGTATGGAGTTAATATGTATTGGCAATATTGAACTCACCAGGTCCAATAACGTATCAAGTATGGCCCTGCCACACCAGCTGTAACTATAACTGTAGCTATCTTACTGAACTGTTACATGTATGGAGTGTTAGCATCCACCATGCAATCAACAATAGGGCCAACACTAATGGAGACATCAACGACACTCACCTTTTTGTTGGAAGGTAGCATTGAATCCTTGTTCTGGGTAGTGCTGATCAGAATGGAACTTGATGTACATCCAGTTGCTGGACCCCTCAATGACAGCCGGAGGTTTGTTTCCTCCGTAGTAGGTCCCTATCAGTGGACTGCTGCTGCTCCTGCCGTTGTACACCGATACGTAGTCGGTGTTGCGTTCGTGCTGCAGGTTGAAGCTGGAGAAGCGCAGCTGCACTATGTCTCCGGGGTTCCCGGCGTGAATCGTCCACGCGCAGTCCTTGCTGTTGGGGTAGTCACGGGGATAGCGCGGCGAGGTCAGGGTGCCAAAGATGTCGTGCAGTAGCCCACCACAAGGCTGGTCTGATAACAAAAACAACAACTAATACAACTACAAATACAAACTTTGCTAAACATTAATCACTAAACCTTTATCATCTGGTTAATACTGTTTTGTTTGTTTCATGCCATACTTGGGAATAAGTCAGCTACATGATGGAAAGCTGAAGATAATCGAGTCTGGACCAGTGGCTGATGTCACGAGCATCGATCTACACAAATGAATGAGTGAGTGAGTGAGTGAGTTTAGTTTTACGCCAATATTCCAGCAATATCATGGGGGGAATCGAATGTGGGTCCTCGATGTGAGGGGAATCGAATGTGGGTCCTCGATGTGACGAGCGAACGCTTTAACCACTAGGCTACCCAACCAGCCCTGGGATATTATGACAAGCATCAAACAAATGAGAGAGTCTGACCACATGTAACTTGTCTCTTATGACAAATGTAGACTGCTGGTGACTGCATAAACCTCGATCGTCATGGAGGAGATTTTTTTGAAAACAATGCTATAATACAGACCAGCAACTCCGTCATATGTTCAGGTAGAATGACGGATATGTAGGACATAGAATGACTCACATTTAGGACAGAGTTCCTGTAACTCATCCACGGCGTTGGCGCAGTCCTGTTGACCATTACACTGGTACTCTGGTTTGAGGCAAGTCCACTTGCGTGTCTGGACATCATTGCAGGGGATGGACTGCGGGGAACATGTGGGGCGGTCAGTGGTGGCTGGAATCAATATAGTAGTCCACATAAAAGCTGCTACATTTGTCAGCTGTCAACACTTCACAGCACTTTCTTACGCGTTGGAACAAACAATATTCCTCTATGGTGGACAGTTTAATCAGTGCAATAAGCCAATCCAGTACACTTGGGAACATGGTCCGAAAAATGAATGAAATGAAAACTAATCATGATCTGATACATGTGCCTATGTGGGCACCTTGCTGAAACTACTTTAAAAGTACATACATCTATTCAGTGTTTACTATGTCAATGAACTGCATTCTGCCAAGTAAGTATAGGTGTTTCTGTTGACAAACACTTTTTTTTTTGGTGTTTGCCAATATCTCTTATCGTACATTTTTTTACTATGGTTGGGCAGAGATGCAACAAATGCTCTGCCTCCTTCTCTGTATATGGTTGTCTGGTGCACCTGTCTCTGTTTGTCCTGCATGTGTCTGTGTTACACTATGTGTCCTGCATGTGTCTGTGTTACACTATGTGTCCTGCATGTGTCTGTGTTACACCATGTGTCCTGCATGTGTCTGTGTTACACCATATGTCCTGCATGTGTCTGTGTTACACTATGTATATGGTTGTCTGGTGCACCTGTCTCTGTTTGTCCCTCCATATTCTGGTGTGTCTGTGAATTGCATAGTATGTGTCCTGCATGTGTCTGTGTTACACTATGTGTCCTGCATGTGTCTGTGTTACAGTATGTGTCCTGAAAGTGTCTGTGTTACAATATGTGTCCTGCATGTGTCTGTGTTACACCATGTGTCCTGCATGTGTCTGTCACACTGTGTCCTGCATGTGTCTGTGTTACACCATGTGTCCTGCATGTGTCTGTGTTACACTGTGTGTCCTGCATGTGTCTGTGTTACACCATGTGTCCTGCATGTGTCTGTGTTACAATATGTGTCCTGCATGTGTCTGTGTTACACCATGTGTCCTGCATGTCTCTGTGTTACACCGTGTGTCCTGCATGTCTCTGTGTTACACTATGTGTCCTGCATGTGTCTGTGTTACACCATGTGTCCTGCATGTGTCTGTGTTACACTATGTGTCCTGCATGTGTCTGTGTAACACCATGTGTCCTGCATGTGTCAGTGTTACACCATGTGTCCTGCATGTGTCTGTGTTACACTGTGTCCTGCATGTGTCTGTGTTACACACTGTGTCCTGCATGTGTCTGTGTTACACACTGTGTCCTGCATGAGTCTGTGTTACACACTGTGTCCTGCATGTGTCTGTGTTACACACTGTGTCCTGCAAGTGTCTGTGTTACACCATGTGTCCTGCATGTGTCTGTTACACTATGTGTCCTGCAAGTGTCTGTGTTACACCATGTGTCCTGCAAGTGTCTGTGTTACACCATGTGTCCTGCATGAGTCTGTGTTACACCATGTGTCCTGCAAGTGTCTGTGTTACACCATGTGTCCTGCATGTGTATGTCTTACACTATGTGTCCTGCATGTGTCTGTGTAACGACATGTGTCTGCATGTGTCTCTGTTACACCGTGGGTCCTGCATGTATCTGTGTTACACTGTGTGTCGTGCTTGTGTCTGTGTTACACTATGTGTCCTCCATGTGTCTGTGTTACACCATGTGTCCTGCATGTGTCTGTGTTACACCATGTGTCCTGCATGTGTCTGTGTTACACCATGTGTCCTCCATGTGTCTGTGTTACACCATGTGCCCTCCATGTGTCTGTGTTACACTGTGTGTCCTGCATGTGTCTGTTACACCATGTGCCCTGCACGTGTCTGTGTAACACTGTGTCCTGCATGTGTCCGTGTTACACCATGTGTCTTGCATGTGTCAGTGTTACACCATGTGTCATGTATGTGTCTGTGTTACACCGTGTGTCCTGCATGAGTCTGTTATACTATGTGTCCTCCATGTGTCTGTGTTAAACTATGTGTCCTGCATGTGTCTGTTTTACACTGTGTCCTGCATGTGTCTGTGTTACACCATGTGTCCTGCATGTGTCTGTGTTACACCATGTGTCCTGCATATGTCTGTTACGCTGTGTGTCTTGCATGTGCCTGTGAAACTGTGTCCGTGTTACATCATGTGTCCTGCATGTCTGTTACACCATGTGTCCTGCATGTGTCTGTGTTACACTGTGTGTCCTGCATGTGTCTGTGTTACACTGTGTGTCCTGCATGTGTCTGTTACGCTGTGTGTCCTGCATGTGTCTGTGTTAAACTGTGTGTCCGTGTTACACCATGTGTCCTAAATGTGTCTGTGTTACACTTTGTGTCCTGCATGTGTCGGTTACACTATGTGTCCGTGTTACACCATGTGTCCTGCATGTGTCTGTGTTACACCATGTGTCCTGCATAGGTCTGTTACACTGTGTCCGTGTTACACCATGTGTCCTGCATGTGTCTGTGTTACACTGTGTCCTGCATGTGTCTGTTATGCTGTGTGTCCTGCATGTGTCTGTTACACTATGTGTCCTGCATGTGTCTGTGTTACACTGTGTCCTACATGTCTGTTACATTATGTGTCCTGCATGTGTCTGTGTTACACCATGTGTCCTGCATGTGTCTGTGTTACACTATGTGTCCTGCATGTGTCTGTGTTACATTATGTGTCGTGCATGTGTCTGTGTTACACTATGTGTCCTGCATGTGTCTGTGTTACACCATGTGTGGTATTCAGCCGATGTCAAATTCTACCTCTGTGTTGCATTTAGTCCATGTGTCGCGCTGTTTTTATTTTATAAAACTACTTCCTTGCCAATCCGTCCCCCTGATGGGGACATACATATCAATACACTACTGACCTTTATGACAAATGCTCTGAGACTCGTCCGCTCCATTGATACAGTCATTGCGGCCATTACACTGGTACTCTGGACTGAGGCAGACCCTGGTACCCGTGTGAATATCATAGCATGTCATTGATGGGTGGGAACAGTGTGGGCTCGGTGTGGTTGCTGAAACACAGATGTAACAGTGATATAATGTGCCTGGAGGTTTTGTTGGGTACCTTCTCTGATGCGTAACATGATGGATCATGGATGATTCCCTAACGTTAATAAAGAAAAAAAAACAGGTGAAAGATTCCAGCTGAAAAAGACGGATAATCTACTGAAGACCACAAGGGCCTGGAAATATTTGAAACTGCCGGCTCGATACAATAACAACCGGTGCTGGGCCTCTGGGCTGGCCATTATTTCGAACACTGCACAGAACCTGCAGGATATCCCCGGAATCCTCACAGTCTATGTATCTCACATCCAGCTTCTATAGGATATCCTCCTGTATTTTGCTATCAAATATTTTCTAAATTCTACAATAACCTGCTTTGACTCGGGCAAACACAGCACACAATGCTGTCCACATCAGATCATTCAAAAACCAGTCTGTGGGCCCTTAGGATGCGCTCTGTCCTTACAGCAGTAGTGTGTGCGTATGGTTTTACGCAGCTGTCAGCAATATTCCAGCAATATCCGGTGGGGGACACCACTGTACCAATGTGGGGAATTGTCAGTGTGACGTGCCAACGCTTAATCCACTAGGCTACCTCACCGCCGTAGTGTGAGAAGATACTGCCTTACAGTCTGGTGACAGAGAGTACTTACTCTGGGGACATAGGGCATTGGATTCGTCTAGCCTGGTGAGACAGTCCGGCTTTCCATCACACTGGTAGTTCCGACTGAGACAGATCTGTTGACCGGTGTGGACATCACGACACGTGATAGACGGATGGAGGCATGCTGGGGCAGGAGTGGCTGGAACACAGATGTAGAGGATTAGCATGTAGCTGAAGACAGTACCTCTGTCAGAGAACAAGGATGTGATGACACATTGCTACAGGCTTGCAGCTTGTCCTTCATTCACTGAAGCTGGCAACACTTACTTGTGACACAAAAAGACTCGTCGCTGTTATCTCCACACTCATCACGTCCATTACACCACCACTCCTCAAGGATACACTTCATGTTGCTGCATCGCTTCTCCCCTGGCCCACACCGTGTATACTGGGGCACTTTCCCTGCAAAACACAACAGTCATTCAGCCTACCAGCAAAACAGTATATCTCCGTAAAACAAGACACCAGGGTGTTTCGTGAGTATCATATTCAGAAAATGTAACTGATATTTTACACTTATCCTGACACATGATTTGAAAGGCCCTCCTAACCGTCCCCTCTCAGCACTTAAGATCTGCCTGTAGGTTCGAGGGCGTGCTGGGAATTCATGAGAGAGTGACAAGAACATGCCTATGTGTTGGTCACGTGGGACACAGGGGGGGGGGAGAAGCCAAAGGGAGGCAACCCAATTGGGTGAGTGATTTTACGTTTGCTTCAGGGAGCAAAGGGATTCAATTTTCCACGTAGCGTTCGAAGGAAAAGGGAGATAAGCATATAGCACGAGTCAGGATAAGGAAAAATATACTAGACATTACTAAATCCTGCCACTTCGTCTCCTTTCAATGCTTTCTAGCATTGTCACCACAAAGGTCCGACTCGCCCTGCCTGGGTACGATTCCTCACCAACAATATACTTCAGTGCAAAGTAGTTGTTCTCCACTTGCTGCGTGCTGAAGAAGATCCACACGTGCCCTCCCTTCACGCTGGCAATGTAGGTGTGGCGGGGAGACGTCTGGCAATATTTGGTCTGTGCCATCGGGCCAATCGTGACAGAGTTCACACTGCACTTGCCGTTGGAGCTGCTGGCCACGTTCAGGGAATCAAAGCTGGAATAAAACACATTCATAAATGAGAGTCTCCCATTTTTACACATGGTAGAACACAGAAAGTCATTGAACTATCTCAGTCCTGATGGTAAATGTGAGTTAAAACGCATTAACAGTGAGCAAATATTGGTCAACATTGAGGTAACATTGGTTAACAGTGAACAAATATTGGTCAACATTGAGGTAACATTGGTCAACAGTGAGCAAATATTGGTCAACATTGAGGTAACATTGGTCAACAGTGAGCAAATATTGGTCAACATTGAGTTAACATTGGTTAACAGTGAGCAAATATTGGTCAACATTGAGTTAAGATTGGTCAACAGAGAGCAAATATTGGTCAACATTGAGTTAATATTGGTCAACAGAGGGCAAACATTGGTAAATATGAAGTAAACATTGGTCAACATTAAGGTTAGTATTGCCCAACAGTGAGCAAACACTGGTCAATATTAAGTTAACATTGATCAACATTGAGTTAACATTGATCAACATTAAGTTAACATTGATCAACATTAAGTTAACATTAGTCAACATTAAAATAAACCAATAATCAATAGGTATGATGCATAAAGGCCCTTGAAAAGGTAATCCAAGGTTAATTTCATAATTTTGAAAGGATGGCTTGCTAGAAAACACAGAAATGTTTTCCCAACCATCCCTTTGGGTGAAAATGGTGGGGAGCGTTCGGGTGAGATGTTTTTACTGTTCTTGGGGAACATAACACAGAATGTTTCCACCGTGTCTCGGGTTGAGGGACAGAGAAGTAAACAGTATGGTCACGATAAGGAAACGTTTGAAGTTTTTCTGTTAACAATCGATGGAATATTTCATTGATGTGATATCCATTTAGTCAAGCTGAATATAGCATAATTTTGATGAATGTGATTAGAATATATACTCAACTCCAAAAGAAACGCGACAACCAGTCTCATATAAAACAAGGTACCAATTACTTGTGGTCGTGATAGCTAACACAGCGCTCAAGTTCTAAAACAAATGCAATAAACAACAACTGATGTGGCATTTTGCAAGTTTTTTACTGACATTAAACAATGATAACCGGGATGTTAGACTAAATGTCTCTTACCACACTGTCATGTTATCATGGCATACAGAACCGTCACTATCAGGTATGGCCACCATTTTTGTTGACTACAGCCAAACAACGCCTCCTCATGGCTATGAACAGATGCCTAATGAAGGCACGGGGGATGTTGTTGTACACATCTAAAACTGATTGTCCGAGCTGACGCCGATTCCGTATGAGAGCTGGTCTCTGACGTAGACGTCTGTCAATCTCGTCCCACAGGTGTTCCATGGGGTTGAGGTTCGGGTTAAGAGCTGGCCAGTTCATCATCTGGATGTTATTGACAGTCAGGAATTGTTGGGTGAGTCTGGCGGGTGTGTGCTCTCGCGTTGTCCTGCTGGAGAACCAACTGGGGTCTGGCAGCGAAAAGTGGGATGACAACAGGTCGCAACACCTCATCCACATAACGTTGTGCAGTACACCTCTTCCATGACCTGTTTTGGAAAATGACAGGTTGTACCCGCCTGTCCCAACTGATTAATCCCCAGATCATAATGGAATGCTCTACCCAACGGTCAGTTTCCAAAACATGTACAGGGGGCACAGAATCGATCATTTCTTCAACGCCAGATCCTGACACGGCTGTCGGTGACATGGGCACAAAATCGGCTCTCATCAGTGAAGACAATGTTACGCCACTGCATGTGTCTCCAATTCAGGTGCTGTCGTGCCGACAGAAGCCTCTGTTGTCGATGTCGAGCAGTTAGGATAGGACCAACATAAGGCCTACGACAGTGTAGTGCGTTTGCCCTTAGACGTCGACGTATTGTAGCCGCAGAAACAGGCCGATTGTGGATACCAATGGTTTGATTGGCTGTCGTCGTGGCTTCAAGGAATCTGTTACGTAAATGGGAGTTCACAATGTAACGATCCTGTCTGTAGGTCGTCACCCTCGGGCGACCACTTCGCTGACGATCTCTTATGGTATTGGTTTGGTTATGGCGTTCCAGAAGTCTGTATAAGGTTGCACGATGGACACCAAGTTGTTGTGCAACATTAGGGACTCTCATGCCAGCATCAAGCAAGCCTAGCGTCCGTAATCTCGCATCATTATTCAGTCGTGGCATTTCTTATCAGATTGTCAACGAATGTTACATTCAGGTTCTGCTGATTCGCACGTGCTAAATGTGAATGTGACATACGTTTCACATGCACGTGCAGGTCATGACACGGGGAATGTGACAGCGAGCGACACTGGTTGCGTTTGGGTATAGTGATTATGCCTTTTGCCAGGGACAGTGTTGATATGAACAAACACAGCGCGATGACAGAAATGGCAGCAAAGGAGGAATCTTGTCTATGAAATGCCTGGGTAAGACATCCATACAACCATAATCAGTACTTATTATCTAAACAAATGCACAAATACTATCATCACGAAGGAAATGACAACCGAGTGTCGCGTTACTTTTGGAGTTTAGTATAGATACACACATCAAGAGACGTATTAATGAGTTGTGCAATTCTGGGACGTCTCTAGGTTATAAACACGTACCAAACAGAACAGTAAATTGTTTGCTCTCTTGGCAGTCTGGCTGGGGACCGTACGAGGGTTTTGAGGAGAAGGCTGTTGTAAGTCAGATGTCTAAGAGACTTGTTGTGTACACAATGATTGAGTGTATGACAGGCAATATTGGAAGGTAATATTTATGACTGGGGAATGAAAATCCACGTGTGAACAACACCCCATGAAATGTAGAACTGAGAACCTTGTGTCCATCATGTATACGGTTAACCACGCACAATGAGTGAGTGAGTGAGTGAGTTTAGTTTTACGCCGCACTCAGCAATATTCCAGCTATATGGCGGCGGTCTGTAAATAATCGAGTCTGGACCAGACAATCCAGTGATCAACAGCATGAGCATCGATCTGCACAATTGGGAACCGATGACATGTGTCAACCGAGTCAGCGAAACTGACCACCCGATCCCGTTAGTCGCCTCTTACGACAAGATAGTCGCCTTTTTATTCTACCTATTCTACCCCGGATCTTCACGGGTCCCACGCACAATGAAATCGTATTACCTGATGGTGATGGTAGCGTTGTCCGGGGCCTCTATAAACCAGTATTTACAGTAGTTGCTGGGGTACACCAGCATCTGCTTGCTCCGTATCTCCCCGCTCCGGCCCGTCAACACTTGCTTGGCGCAATCTGTACACACAAGGTACCATGGTAACATCTTATAAGCTCTAACGGACTAGTGTTATATTGTACCTGCAGCAGTCTCAGTCTCCTGTAATATAGGTAAAAACTCAACAATGGTTATGATTATCATGAAACAGTATGGCTAGCCCATTGGAAGGAAGTTTTGGATTATGTGGATGTGACTGATGTGCATGCCATACAAACACAACCATTACCACAATCAGGAATGATGAACCTGAGCACACATGTTTCCGCTGGTCTATCAAAGTCAGAGATGTAAACAGTATGAGGCCAGACATGAGGGTTTTACTTTAACACAACGATGATCGTAAGACTAGATTTCAGCCAAGTCCCTGAACCAGACCATCCACTATGCTGCCTTTTACAGCCAATGGTTCCTGGGGACCCAGGTTCCCAATAACCTGTTGTGACTTGCTGCAGCTGGAGCTGGAGACATACCGAGTCCACACAGGACAAGGATGACTCTGACTCCTATACTCACGTCAGGTGTAACACTACAACTACGAGTCGTAAGCCAGCTACACTTACCTGAATCAGCGGATGCCAGCCCAACACACAGCAGCAGCACACCTGTGGACAAGAACAGAACCAGTAACAACAGAATCAGCCAGTGTCAAGGACAGGAGCTCACCTTCACTGGATGACAGCTCTATCTGACTGCCCCACCCCACAACCAATGAGTGCCATGACGTCAGTCAGTCAGTAAGTGAGTGAGTGAGTATGGTTTCATGCTGCTTTTAGCAATATTCCAGCAATATCACTGGAGGACACTAGAAATGGACTTTACAGATTGTACCAGTGTGGTAAATGAGAAAACACTTTAACCACAAGGCTTCTCCACTGCCCTGTGATGACATGATGACCTCCATGTCTAATAAAGATATGAAGTACTGTTTAGGTGAAGCAGTAAGTGAGTGAGTGAGTATGGTTTTACGGCGCTTTTAGCAATATTCCAGCAATATCATGGCGGGGGGACACCAGAAATGGGCGTCACACATTGTGCCCATGTGGGGATTCGAACCCAGGTCTTCGGCGTGACGAGCAGACGCTTTAACCACTAGACTACCCCACCGCCCCAATAAAAATATGAAGTACTGTTTAGGTGAAGCAGGCTGGACGCTTCTGGTTGGTCCTTGTGCTTCTTCTGGAAATATTAAAATCAAACAGAAGCAGTGACATTACGTTTAATTGTCTCAATGATTTTATAGCATTTATTCTTATTTTTTATTCCATTCTGTTGTCCAGACCTTAGTTAAAGCAGATTAGTTCAGCACTGGTATGATACCACTCAGCATGATGGTTTGGCTGGGGCATCAGAACATGTGAGACATGTGACGCTATGATTTATTGGAATCAGTCATCAAGCAAGCAGGACACACTCCTTCCCAGACACTGTTTCTTTTATAACCTAATTCAAATACATACCAGCAATATTATTCACCACAAAGTCACCCCACTATGCTAGAGCCTGACAAAACCTATATTTCAAAGATAGACTCTTTCTGGTCTCGGTACATCAACGAAAGTCTCACCAAATATGTCTCATGTTTTAACGCTGTGATACTGCATTTGTTTACAAAATGTAAGGAATAGTTGTAAACTATTAATTACCCTATCTAACCAGTTGCTGTGTTACCATGGTGACAACAAACATTGTCACAGTCAGAGAAAAGAGATAATTTATGATATTTGCTGAGACAGACCAGGAAGCCTCAGTAAACGCTGCCCAACACAGCTCAGCATGAAACAAACTTTCTTGATATGTTAAACACACCCATTCTTATATTCAAAACTTCCTGTCACCAAATATGCAAAAGAGATTCTTGTTGTATCTGGTACCTTGCTGTGTGACCACTGGGCACGCTGGTTATCAGTGGGTGTCAGCTTGTGTCTCCACTGTTCACAGTGTTCGGTGGGGTGTAGCCACTGACCACCACATCAACATGATCAAGGGGGAAACGTCTCCATGTGTCTCCACTGTTCACAGTGTTCGGTGGGGTGTAGCCACTGATCACCACATCAACATGATCAAGGGGGAAACGTCTCCATGTGTCTCCACTGTTCAGTGTTCGGTGGGGTGTAGCCACTGACCACCACATCAAGGGTTAAACGTCTCCATGTGTCTCCACTGTTCACACTGTTCAGTGGGGTGTAGCCTCCACATCAAGGGGGAAACGTCTCCATGTGTCTCCACTGTTCACAGTGTTCGGTGGGGTGTAGCCACTGACCACCACATCAACATGATCAAGGGGGAAACGTCTCCATGTGTCTCCACTGTTCACAGTGTTTGGTGGGGTGTAGCCACTGACCACCACATCAAGGGGTAAACGTCTCCATGTGTCTCCACTGTTCACACTGTTCAGTGGGGTGTAGCCTCCACATCAAGGGGGAAACGTCTCCATGTGTCTCCACTATTCACAGTGTTCAGTGGGGTGTAGCCACTGACCACCACATCAAGGGGGAAACGTCTCCATGTGTCTCCACTGTTCAGTGGGGTGTAGCCACTGACCACCACATCAAGGGGGAAACGTCTCCATGTGTCTCCACTGTTCACAGTGTTCAGTGGGGTGTAGCCACTGACCACCACATCAAGGGGGAAACGTCTCCATGTGTCTCCACTGTTCACAGTGTCCAGTGGGGTGTAGCCACTGACCACCACATCAAGGGGAAAACGTCTCCATGTGTCTCTACTGTTCACAGTGTTCAGTGGGGTGTAGCCAAAGACCACCACATCAAGGGGAAAACGTCTCCATGTGTCTCCACTGTTCACAGTGTCCAGTGGTGTGTAGCCACTGACCACCACATCAAGGGGGAAACGTCTCCATGTGTCTCCACTGTTCACAGTGTCCAGTGGGGTGTAGCCACTGACCACCACATCAAGGGGGAAACGTCTCCATGTGTCTCCACTGTTCACAGTGTCCAGTGGGGTGTAGCCACTGACCACCACATCAAGGGGGAAACGTCTCCATGTGTCTCCACTGTTCACAGTGTCCAGTGGGGTGTAGCCACTGACCACCACATCAAGGGGGAAACGTCTCCATGTGTCTCCACTGTTCACAGTGTCCAGTGGGGTGTAGCCACTGACCACCATATCAGGGAGGAAAGTCTCAATGTTCAGTGGGGTGTAGCCTCCACATCAAGGGGGGGAACATCTCCTTGTGTCTTCACTGTTCATAGTGGTCAGTGGGGTGTAGCCTCCACATCAAGGGGGGGAACATCTCCTTGTGTCTCTACTGTTCACAGTGTTCAGTGGGGTGTAGCCTCCACATCAAGTGGGGAACATCTCCTTGTGTCTTCACTGTTCATAGTGTTCAGTGGGGTGTAGCCTCCACATCAAGTGGGGAACGTCTCCATGTGTCTCCACTGTTCACAGTGTTCAGTGGGGTGTAGCCACTGACCACCACATCAAGGGGGAAACGTCTCCATGTGTCCCAATGTTCACAGTGTCCAGTGGGGTCTAGCCTCCACATCACTGACCACCACATCAAGGGGGAAACGTCTCCATGTGTCTCCACTGTTCACACTGTTCAGTGGGGTGTAGCCTCCACATCAAGGGGGAAACGTCTCCATGTGTCTCCACTGTTCATAGTGTTCAGTGGGGTGTAGCCACTGACCACCATATCAAGAGGGAAACGTCTCCATGTGTCTCTACTGTTCATAGTGTTCAGTGGGGTGTAGCCACTGACCACCATATCAAGAGGGAAACGTCTCCATGTGACCCTCCACAGTGGCAGCATGGCCAGTAGCAGATGACATACCAGCCTATAATAAACCTTTCACTGTAGTGATAAACATGAATGAACTTTCTAACCATGCCAAGCACATGTACAGTGAGACCTCCACACATTCAGATTCAGCCATGACAAACGTATTATATCACTTGTTGCTTTGCTGATTCAGCGTCATATGTATTTTGTGGGTGTGGTCAACAAGCTGGTGGCATATGGCACAAATGACTTAATTCTGGTAATTCCTTACAAGTAGCTTCCCGGTAACAATCTTTAATAGCAATCATGATGAGGTCAATAAACAGGATAAACAGTAGAGATTCTAACACGCTGAAAGTCAACCCTTTCTCCAGGATAAACAGTAAAGATTCTAACACGCTGAAAGTCAACCTTTTCTCCAGGATAAACAGTAGAGATTCTAACACGCTGAAAGTCAACCCTTTCTCCAGGATAAACAGTAAAGATTCTAACACGCTGAAAGTCAACCCTTTCTCCAGGATAAACAGTAGAGATTCTAACACGCTGAAAGTCAACCCTTTCTCCAGGATAAACAGTAGAGATTCTAACACGCTGAAAGTCAACCCTTTCTCCAGGATAAACAGTAGAGATTCTAACACGCTGAAAGTCAACCCTTTCTCCAGGATAAACAGTAGAGATTCTAACACGCTGAAAGTCAACCCTTTCTCCGGGATAAACAGTAGAGATTCTAACACGCTGAAAGTCAACCCTTTCTCCAGGATAAACAGTAGAGATTCTAACACGCTGAAAGTCAACCCTTTCTCCAGGATAAACAGTAGAGATTCTAACACGCTGAAAGTCAACCCTTTCTCCAGGATAAACAGTAGAGATTCTAACACGCTGAAAGTCAACCCTTTCTCTTAAGCCTTAAGCTGTAATGACTACATCAGTCAGGAGTTGACAAGAGTACTAGAAAACTAACAGGTGAAATGTTAATATATCATCTGCAAAGCATGGGTGATAGACCTCTACAAACATTGGTACAAGATTAAAGGATGTACAAAATAACTGTGACAACTCGAACCTATGACTTTTTAATTCTTTACAATATGAGTAATTAACAAGCAGACAAAGTCATCAATATCCCCCGCAATGACAAAATACTCTTATGAATCTGTCTACTAGTTATGATTATGTCAAATCTTTTGGTGTGTATATGGCAAAGTGGAAGGAGAGTATTGAAAGGTTTTAAAGTTTCTGCTCATGGAAAGAGCACTACCACCAAATTCAGGCGAAGCCAAACTTGTTGCCATGGAAACACAAAAAATATTTCATTCAGAATTCCAAAACTACCAAAAGGCACCAGTACACCACCAGGCCTATCTGTGTGCCACGTTGGGTGAAGAAACAGTGAACAGTTTTAAAGTTCTGCTCCGGAAAAGAACACTACCACCAATTTCAGTCAAAGTCAAAAGTGTTGCCATGGAAACACACAAAATTATTTTATTCAGAATTACAAAAGTACCAAAAGGCACCACTACACCTATCTATGGGGAAAGTCAGGTGAAGAAATAGTGATCGGATTTAAAGCTCTGCTCCGGAAAAGAGCACAACCACCAAATTCAGTGGAAGTCGAACTTGTTGCCACAGAGACACAAAAAATATTTTCTTCAAAAATACAAAAATACCAAAAGGCACCAGTACACCAACAGACCAATCTATGTGCCATGTTTGGTGAAGAAATATTGAATGGTTTTAAAGTTCTGCTCCGGAAAAGAACACTACCACCAATTTCACTCAAACTTTGAGTCAAAGTCAACTTTGTTGCCATGGAAACGCGAAAATATCATGATCAGAAATCCAAAACTACCAAAAGGCACC